TGGCCAGTCGGGGCCGGTTGAGAGGGTTGCGAGGATGTTCCCGCATCGCCATTCCGCAATGTTTGGAGTCCTTAATCCAAGATGGTAAGTCGCTGAAGAAGTTGTGCGAGAACTTCGGAACCGATCGTCGTCGTGTTCTCGCTTGTCGCAGCCGGGTTGGGTTGCGCTTCAGCCGTCAGATTAGTCTGACCACCAGATCCTCCGGCCATCTTCACTCGTGAGCGTGTGCCGGACGCCACTTTCCGAATGTCGCAATTTTCGGGAGTGGCAGTGCGAAGGATTCCCGAGCCGCTCTCATACCATGCTGCGATCAGAAGTTGATCGTAGCCCAGGATCTACTCAGGAAGGTTCGCACGCAGTAAGATAGTTTGGTGGGCCCTTGACCTCAATAGCAGAGTGAATGTAAAATGCTTGAGAAAAAATAAAACATGCAAATACAAGAAATATAAATATGAGTACAGGGGAATACGAAACGACCTAACTAGCCATGTACTCTAAGGGGTACATTCCCTTATTCAAATTCATTCCCAACCGTGCGGCGCGTACAGTTTCGTAACTGTTCCCGCCAAAACCATCCTGCCTGAAGCTGCCCGATGCCCAAGTCACATCTGCGCATCCGCCATGTAGGAGGCCTCCACCCAAAGAGCCCTGCCCTCCACCTCGACATCGTCCCTCTCCCGATCCACCAAGTCCACATTCAACCCCCCCATGGAAGACGCCGCCCGAAGCAGGATGACACGAGCTTGCGCCCGTTGTAACGCCACTCCGATGAGCGCCTTCAGAGACCCCAAAAGGTAAGCCAAAAACGAAGTGTCATCCTCCCGACAAGCCCCCCGTGACACAGCTAGCCCCACGTGCGCGTCCCCCTGCTGTCGAAGCCACCGCCGGAAGCGACCGCCGAGACACCCCCACGTCTCCACTATCAAAGGGGTGAACTGCACGCCTCGGTTGCGTGCAAGCAGAGGCGTGTAATCACCCGTTTTGCGACGCTTCCACTCCTTTGCCGCCACGCCTTTAGAACGCCCGCACTGCCCTAGCAGAGATGGAGACAGTGATAGCGGATCCGCGCCACTGATCTCTAGAGCGTGAGCCTCCCCAGCCATTGGTCGTCGCACCGCTACGTTGACCCGCTTCCCCGGCAGCACCGCACTATCCTCCATCGTCACCACCCCCCTGACGCCTTAGAGATCTTCGCCACCGCAAACTTCACCTCATCATGCACCCGAGATGGACCGTGCTGGTGCTTGCATCTCAGGGCATGATGCGGGTCTGCTGGGTCATCATACGCTGTGCCACAAACACACCTCCCCGCCACTTGCAGCTGCTGGATTGGGAGTTCGAGCCGTATAGCAGCAGCAATGCCCCACTCAGCCGCAGTGAATGTGAGATCTGAATGAGCCGGAACTGCCGAAACCCATGCACCAGCCCCCGGGCCCTGAAGGGATGTGAAACGGGCCAGGGTGGCATCGTCACGAGCCAAGCGGCGGAGTGCCTGGAGCTCCTCAACAGCCAACTGCCGCTGCCGCGCCTGGAAAAGCCGAAGAGGAGGGGCCGCCACACACAGGGGTAAGTCCGGCAGCTCCTGGCGTATAGTCGCGGGCAACTGCTCAATGGCCTTGGCAAACCACGGGTCAAGAAGCTCCGCCCCCGCCGAAGTGGTGAGGTACTCTGCAAACATCGCCTCCTCGCCCGCCACCCCCAAATGTGCAATATCCCGTGCGGCCTGCGCCCACCCACAAACATAGGAGAGCGGACTCAAAGAGGCCGCCGCCCGGATCCCAAACCCTCCGAGGCGCACAGGGAGATGCAGCTGCATGCGTGCGCGCCTAGACCTGCCGGGGTCCTGCTCCCAAGTGCCAGGGGGGAAAAGCTGCTCAAAGCAATCCTCCAGACAGCTGTCCCACTCTCTAAAGGCCTCCACCACCTCCGGACGCGACGGCATAGTCCGGGCCAGGTACATCGGCCGTGCTGAAACTGCAATAGCGAGGAGATGCGAGGCCATCTGGGGGTGGTCGAGCAGGGGGAGCCACGGCAATGGCGCCTGCAACTCGCGAAGCCGCTTCCGTAATCGGGCCCCCTCCCAATCCTCCTCCCCAATAGGCACGCCCACTAAAGTGAGACCCACCTCCTCCCGCTGCATCCCCAATGGCAATGCCCGCTCCATATCCCCGCCTCCACGCTCCCAAAACCTGCACTTGTGCGCCTGCACCTCCAGCCCCACCCACTCCAACCGCTCGTGCAGCACCCCAAAAGCCTCCAGAATCCTGGCCGCTGGTCCCACGATGTAGGTATCGTCTGCATAACTCAAGAAAAGTAGGTCCCTGGACTCTCTAGTCACCGTCTCCATCACCTCCTGCTGCGTGAAAGCGAAAAGAAAAGGGCCGAGCGGGTCCCCCTGTCGCGATCCTCGTGCCGACTCAAGACTCTGTACGAAAGGGCCCGCTCGGAGGTACAGGTCGCTAGGTGTCCCATAGGAAACGCGCAAGAATGGGATCATTCCTGAGAAAGGCAACTCCCGCAGCCCCTCGAACATCGCGTGACAGTGAAACGAATTGAAGGCGTCCTCGAACATCCCAAGAGTTGCTTTTGGTGAGAGGGAGACTCGAGAGTGGTTCGGTGCGGATTTGTTGATTCGATGTGTGGTCCTCGGAATTTACTCGCTAAGGTAATGCTACAGTAATAAAGTATAGTTCCTTACACTACGAGTGTTTTTAAAGCTTCAGCTCTCTACATTGCAATTGTAACACCTCACATTTCGGTGTGGGCTTGCCACTCGGACTTTGGGTCAACGAAATTTGACATCTCGTTGACCCGTCCGATTTTCTGTTCTGTAGCTTCACAACTGCCTACCACATGACAATGTTCGAATTTTGGACCCCGATCACACTTACGTACAGTACGTTGGCGGATATGTGGTTTGGGTTTGCCCTCTCTGGGACCAAACCAAACCATTTGGCTTGGCAAGCCAAATCTATTTACCCTACCTCGCCCCTCAACCAAGCGATTGGCTGGGCGCGCCTTTTCCTTGGGCCTTTCTACCTCACGTGCTCGCTGTATCTCTCAACGGAAAAGAGGGTAACGCTCCATTTTGCCTGGGGTGACGCTTTCGGGAGCGTCACCCTGACCCGGGCAGAAAAAAACTAAAACCCAAAGCGACCGGCATGCCATTCGGGAGCCTCAACCCTAAGGGTTGAGGGTCCCGAATGGCATGCCGTCCATGTGGGGTTTATTATTTTTTTCCCCAGCCAGTTTGTCGTTTTGTCGTCTCCTCCTTGTCGTTTTTGTCGTCTCCTCCATTCTGTTGAGATATACTAGGCTGTCACAGCTAGCAGCATGCAAGCAAGCAACTTGGGTGCACGTACAGAATAGTAGCCAGCGCTCCACAACTTCATTCAGAACACTAACTAGCGCTCATTCTCGTTCACGGCCAAAGATGGCACTCGCCCCTCCCTTCGCCGTGCGTGATACTCGTCTTCCCCACGCAGCGCTGCTGTACCACATGTCAATGGCGGTGTTCGTCAGCACATTTGCAAGCAAAAACAAGGGGATAACGACGTTATCAAGAAGGTCAGTCTCGCCTTCCTGATCCCGTCAGTTACGGTTCGTTAACCTCCGTCAGCCTGGTCAGCCCGTAAAAATGTTGCCGAGCCTCTTAAGTCGTCCGAACCTCTTAGAAACGTGAGGGCGTGGCGAACGCCCCCAATTTTCACCACTTCGAAATGCATGACCGCATATGGAAATGGGGTTGCTGTTTCCTCCCCTGGCAAAAGCAATCCCCCTGCGATGCCATCGCCATTCACCTTTCCAAGGTGAATGGCGATGGCATGGCTGTGGCATTGCAGAGCAGAGGGGAACCTCTACCCCCCCAATTGTTTGCCGAATGGGGGTTCGTTTACCCCCAACTTTCCCAGCCCGAATACGCATTCGAGCTGCTCAAGCAACAGCAGTACTTCAAAATCAATCACGATCCTTTCCACAGTCACAAACCTAATTCGCCAATCTCAGCTTAGTCGCGCTCATCTTAGCCATTTCGCCATGAATAGACCCAATCCCCTAGGAGAGTATCGCTCGACAACGAGAGACTAATACACCGTCCCATAGCGCGCTTCCTGCCAACACCGCGCCTCAAGCACGCATAACGTCATTTGCTAATAGAAACGCGTCACCCCTGCCCCGCCGCACAACTACTGCGTCAGTGCTTCCAGTAGTTGCTAATTCACCTGCCGTGACGGACATTCTGCTCCCCTCCTATTCGGAAGTGGATGATAGTGATAATGTGGTTGAAAGTGAGACCATAGAGACAGGACGTCATCCGTGGAACGAAAATCTCACCTTCGATCTCATCAACATTGTCATTGAGACTCAGGTAGAGAATGGCTCGGCACCACACGCCATCATCACGAAATGGGCAAATATATATTATAAATGGGTGGAGATGCACGGACCGCACTTGGTTGACCTCGAACAGCTGCAGAACCTCATAAGGGTGGTTAAACGCTGGGTGAAGAATATTCGATACCTACGGAGCCTAATCAAAACGGGCGTCAGCTATGACCCTGAGAAGGATTTCTTCAATCCACCTCCCGAAGTAAGTCTCTGATATTTACCCGTCCCTTGTATGTTCTGACGGATATAAATAGCAGAGTCGCTCTTCGCAGTTGCCCTTTTGTTATTGGTTTGCATAGAGGAGCAGCTCTCTATCCAACACTTTAATATTCCCTCCTCTTCGTACCTTCAGCTTGAAATCGTGGCGAAACTCGAAAGGCTCAACATTTGGCCAGAAATACTCGAAATGGGCATCCAAGGCCGCCCCTTGGTTTCCAAAAGCGCCAGAAATTGTGCACAGGAGCGGTCGGCGCACACGCTTCGCCACTGATCGTCATACGGGCCCACTTACATTTGCTAACGACCCGGGTTGTGAAGATGTCGGTGACGCCCCTGAGGAGGATGACATTGGGCTCAAAGATGGCGCGCAAGGGGGTGGCGGGCTTGGAGATGGCATGAAGGGGGTTGGCGGCCTTGGTGATGGCGCGCAGTGGGGAGTCGAGCTTGGTGATGGCGAGCAGGGGGGTCTCGGGCTTGGTGCCGGCACGCACGGGGGTGGCGGCCTTAGTGATGGGGCGCATGGTGGTGGTGGCCTGGGAGTTAGCGCGCAGGGGGGTGGCGGCCTTGGAGATGGCGCGCAGGGGGGTGGTAGGCTGGGTGATGGGGTGCAGGGGGATGGCGGGCTTGGTGATGGGTTGCAGGGGGTGGCGGCCTTGGTTATGGCGCGCAGAGGGGCGGCGGCCTTGGAGATGGCGCGCGGGGGGGTGGCGGGCTGGGAGATGGGGTGCAGGTGGGTGGCGGGCTTGGTGATGGGGTGCAGGGGGGTGGCGGACTTGGTGATGAGGGACATCCAGAGCACAGTGTGGGCGTCACCGGAAGTGTGGCGCAGGGACGGGGTTGGGACGGGGATGGGGCGGACGAGGAGGGTCCGGACATGGGAGGGGCAAACGTGGGGGAGGCGGACGTGGGGGAGGCGGACGTGGGGGAGGCGGACGTGGGGGAGCCGGACGTGGGGAGGGGGGGCGTGGGGAGGGCGGGCGTGGGGAGGGCGGACATGAGGAGGGTGCGCGTGGGGAGGGCATACGTGGGGAGGGCGCACATGGGGGGGGGAGGTAATGGGGCTGTGGGTGCTGGTGGCGGAAGTAGCCATCATGCGGATCCGCGGAGTCCCGCAAGGTCATTGGCTGGCACCCCCGCCAGTAGAGGCCGCGCGGCACCGCCTCGCCATCGAGCTGGAACAAGCACCATAAACGCTCCGACGGCAACCAGGTTGCACATCAGTAGGAGGTCCTCACAGTGGCGACTGAGCGTGGCATCACCATGTGCCACACGGGTGAGCCAGAGGAACAAACATTGGCCTTCAGTATTTGATCTGCCATCACTGCTGATGCACTAACGGGAGTGAGTGGGCCGTCCTGGTACGCGAGTGGGGCAGCGGGGCAACTGCTGCTATTCAGCATCATCACTGCTACGGATTGTACCCTCACACACAAATTCCCTCATGCGTCCCCACAATTACCCCAACAGAACGGAGTGAGTGGGCCGTTCTGGTATGCCAGTGGGGCAACGGTGCAGGCGCTGCTGTTTGGCATCATAGTAGTGGAGATCAAACCACATGCCTCTTACACTAATTCCCCCACACCCACACACACACTCCCATCAGAACGGGGAGAGTGCTGGCCGTTCTCGTATGCCAGTGGGGCAACAGTGCAGGTGCTGCTGTTTGGCATCATAGCAGTGGAGATCAAACCACATGCCCTCTTACACTAATTTCCCCACACCCACACACACCCCCCCATCAGAACGGAGAGAGTGCTGGCTGTTCTGGTATGCCAGTAGGGCAACGGTGCAGGTTCTTCTGTTCGGGATCATTGTACACCCGGTCACATGATTATTGTATGCAGTAGCTTCAAACCACCGCTCCGTGCACGTCCCCTTTCACGGGCCAAGTCTGATTTACCATAATGTCCCCTGCCCAATTCTGATCTGACCCCTTTTGCGCTGGCTTCCTACGCACCACTATGGTGCATGGTGCTTGCAGACGAGTACCCGCATGTGATGCATGCAGTTGATGTGGTGGAGGCCATGGAGGACCTCACACCTAAGCAGAGGTCCATAGTGTGTGAGCGCTTCAGTAAGAACCATGTCGAGGCAGCTGTGTTTCTGCGCCAGCGTCCAGAGACACGTCGCGCCTACATACAACGAGTGGCAAGGGTGGTAGCCTAAATCAGTGGCATAACTTATCCATAACCTACGTATGGTACATGCTTCATGTTCCCTTTCAAGGGCCTTACACTTAAATCCCTGACTTTGGCATTTGTTTTAAGAGTTTGTTAACAAACAATGCTACCTTAGCAATGCTCACGCATGCCCAAATTCTGCCCATAAGCACTCTGCTATACCATCCCGTATCTGCTGGCCAATTCTTGCCGATTCTCGAGGGTCCACACCTGGCTCCAGCACAGGAGCGCTCCGTTGGCGCAACTCTCTTTCATGAATCCCAGGTAAGAGGTCATCGTCGTCCAGGAAGTCAGCCCCACCGTGTCGTTTGATATAGTTGTGAATAATGCAGCACGCCTATCCGAAAGTACACTGCAAGGCAAAACTGTAGGGCCGCATATGTTTGAGGATGGGGAAACGGGCTTTAAGCTGTCCGAAGGCACGCTCTACGTGCGAACGAAGGGACGAGTGAATCCTATTGAACATCTCCTCCTTGTTCCGTGGTTGGAAGCCCGACTCCTGCCATCGACGTTGGTTGTACATGATAGTCCTATAAGGAGCTAGTAGATGCTGGTCGTTTCTAAACCCGGAGTCGGCTAGAAGAAAGGTGCCAGTCGGTATGAGCAACGACTCGGTATGCGCATAACCTTATGCGCTCTTCCAGGATGACCTTTAAGTAGGTGATCGGCGTACGGTGGACCGCCTTTCAACAAGTCGTGTTTCTCGGCCCTTGTGAAGACAGTGACACATCTTGCAACTCGCTGCAGCATAGTGATGACCCACAAGCCTCCCAATATATCGCCAACTAACTGCATTATACACTTAGCAAAATCTTTACGACTCTCTTTGGAACCTCAAGTGGTACCTATAAGGGGGTCGAAGGGAACGGTGGAGTCTTCTGTAAACCCTAAGGGAGTCCATCAGTCTGGTTTGTGAGTGGCCTAAGTACGAGGGGTGATTGGGTTGTATTTGCGATGGTTTATTGCGCTTGTTACCCTGGTGGGGCTGGGGGTTCCATATGCGGTCGCGAATTTTCCCGTTTTGGGGATCGAAGTTTCGCGGACCGCATTACGCCCGGACCGCATTACGCCCAGACCGCATTCGCGGGTTCCGCCCCCGGTTCCTGATGCGGTCACCATTCCGATGCCATCAAAATCCCATCTAATTTCAAAGTTGATGGCGAACACCGCCATGTTCGAATTTCGGACCCACACCACACTTACGTACCTTGGCGGACATGTGGTCTGGGTTCGTCCTCTCTGGGACCAAACCAAACCAATTGGCATGGCACGCCAACTCTATTTACCCTCGCCTCGCCCCTCAACCAAGCGATTGGCTGGGCGCGCCTTTTCCTTGGGCCTTCCTACCTCAGGCGCCCGCCGTCACAGCTAGCAGCACGGAAGCAAGCAACAGGGGTGCACATGCAGAAGAACAGCCAGCGCTCCACAACTTTCTAGTAAACCCTCATTCTCGGCCTACGCACAATTGGGAGCCCTGGCTACAGTGCGTACTGTTGCTTGGACCCTAGCGATCTGGTGCTTGGAGCCGAACCCTAGGTAGGTGGCGGGCAAATGCACTCAAGGAACGGTATACAACGGTATATACAAGTAAATTTGCTTTTGCGTACGGTTGAGTGCGGCAAATGTGCTTACAGGGTATGTTTTTTTACCATTTTTGCCCCCGCAGTCGTCGGGGGGAAGGAGGAGGAGTGAGGAGCGGCGCGCTGCCGCCCCTCGACACAGGGAAGACAGGGAGGAGCAGGCGAGGGTGGGAGGGGAGGGAGAACCCTGGGAAGACCAGCAACAAGGTCCCGTTTGTGCATGGCCCGAAGGCGCTGCACAGACGGGTGACCAAGGCGGTGGTGCCAGAGGACAGTCTCATGCGCCAGAGAGCGACACGAGCAGGGGGCGGACAGCTGACCTGACGCAGACGCAGACGCGGACGCAGCTACCTGAGGGGACTCAGTGGTCAGTGTGTACAGGTCCGACCCCGGCTGCCGAGTGAAGGTAGCCAGGTGACGGCCCGTCCGAGCACACGTGCAGTGGGTCACGCGCTCGTAAGCAGGGGTGAACTGGTGAACACCCCCGTCCTGGAGCGCACTACCTGCCACCAAGTTCGTAGAGAACGAGGGGAGGTAGAGGCCTGACAGTGTGCCTGACGGGACCGCAGGACAAGGAAGGACAGTAGAGGAGGTCGCAACGACCGGACCCCCAGAGGGGTCAGCGAGGGAGACAGCAACTGGCCGAGCAAGAGGCTCAAGGACTAAACCCTAAACCCTAACTTTGTGTACCCCCTAAGGTGTAACCCACTACAGCCTACACAATATAAACATACAATGTTTGACACTTCCTACCTCAGGCGCCCGCCGTCACAGCTAGCAGCACGGAAGCAAGCAACAGGGGTGCACATGCAGAAGAACAGCCAGCGCTCCACAACTTTCTAGTAAACCCTCATTCTCGGCCTACGCACAATTGGGAGCCCTGGCTACAGTGCGTACTGTTGCTTGGACCCTAGCGATCTGGTGCTTGGAGCCGAACCCTAGGTAGGTGGCGGGCAAATGCACTCAAGGAACGGTATACAACGGTATATACAAGTAAATTTGCTTTTGCGTACGGTTGAGTGCGGCAAATGTGCTTACAGGGTATGTTTTTTGACCATTTTGGACGCATTGATGTCATTACAGCTGGCATGTTCATGTGGCGATTGTGCATGTGGCGAGAATGAGGGTGTACCATTCTAGTACACCCCGTCCCCCTTATTTTCAACGATGTTATCTTCAAGCCCTTTGTTGGTTCTCGCGTCGACTTCTGCGGGCGGCCAGAAATGGCTATTGCGAAGTGACCCAAGAAGCAAGATGCCCTTTTCAACAGTGCACAGTGCCCTTCTGCGGGCATGCTCATGCCTACAATATCGCACAGATGCATACGGATCTGTGATGGAAGAAGTTTCACGAAAGCCATAGCGCCTCGATCTCTTTCTGAAAAGGGTACGATTGGTTTAAACGGATATGCACATTCAGACTAGGACCGTCTAAAATCGCCACGTCGGAACTTGGCGAGAACATCGCCACCGTCCACAAAAGTTTTTTTTATTTTCAAAATGAAATTCACATCTGTATTTTTATGCAGGTCAAAGAAGACCCTTCGAATGCATTGGAACAATTTTTCTTCACCATATTTTCACCACTGTGGAAAACGGCGGGGCCCTGCCATCCATTTTCAGGCATTGAAAATAAGGCGGATTAGGGTGTAGCGCTCATTCTCGTTCACAGCCTTTGATGACACTCGTCCCTCCCTTCACCGTGCGTGGTACTCGCCTTCCCCACGCAGTGCTGCTGTGCCTCATCATTTCCATCGTGCTCTCCGCGCTGTGCGCCGTGCGCGGTGCGCAGGGTCCTACCGCGTCGTCGATAGCGGCGGCAATGGAGCGCGCGTCGTCGTCGTCATCGTCGTCGCCGTCGCAGTCGTTCAACGTGTCGCTTCTCCTCCACAACATCACCGGGCTGCTCACCAACCTGCCCGCGCGCGCGCGGCTCACTCTCTTCGCGCCCACCGATGCCGCGTGGCGTGCCGCATTCCACGCCCTCGCCCTGCTGTACGTCAACGCCTACTATCCGTTCCCCGGCGGCGGCGGCGGCGGCGGCGGCGGTGGCGGCGGCGACACCCCCCGTAAGCGCGGGAAGTTCCACCCGGGGCGCAGCGGACGGGTTGAGTTTGGAGAACATGACGCTTCCCGTTGACAACTGGACCATGCCCGAAATCGGACCGCTGGATTTCAATCCAATCATCGCCGCATTAAGCGCCGTCTTTTCCGGCGGGGGTTGCCCGCGTCGCTGGCGCCGCTGGCGAAGGAGCGGCCCGAGACGCTGAAGCCTCTGTCGGAGCTGCTCACGTACCACGTGGCGACGACGACGGCGCTGAACGCGGTGGCCATCGCGGCGCAGTTCACGGCGGATGCGGGCAACCTTACGACGGTGAACGGGCAGGGGCTGTGGATCAACTTCAACACGAGCCAATCCGCCTCGCTGCTCAACGCGTACTCACCAGCGCAGCACGCGCTGATGAGCGAGGGGGTAATCGTGGGGCATGACGACAGCCTGGGCTACCCGAACGGCACCACCATCGAGAATGAAGGCACCCTGCTCTTCCCAAACGGCACGACCGTCGCCGCTAACGGAACCGTCCTGTTTGACCCCGCGACGACCCCGTTTTTGGTGGACCGGAATGGCACGGAATACTACATGAACGGCACTCTAGTCGCCGCTAACGGAACCGTCGTGTTTAACCCCGTGACAGCCCCATATTTACCCGGAAAGGCACGAAATATAACATAAACGACACGATCGACCTCCCTAACGGAACCGTCCTATTTGACCCCGCGGCGAGCATGTCTTGGATTGAATACCATCTGAGCCTGCTTGACAATGAGCCCAACGAGCAATCGCCCCCCTCCAACAGCTCCGCACACTCGCACATTCAATCTGCGGCGCCTTCCCTGGCGGACCTCGCCCCCTCCGGAAAGACCCCCCGCCGCCCGGCGAACATGTACGCGTCGTAGGGCATGTGGAGCATGGGGGGGTTCGCGGAGTGGGAGAGGCTGCCGCCCTACTTGAGCGAGTGGAGTGAGGAGGCGCAGCAGCAGTTGGCGGGCAAGGCAACGCGGTGGATGAACCGGATGGTGCCGGGGCTGACCCTCTCCGGCAGTGAGTACCTCGCGTGGCTCAACGCATACAAGGTCGCGCATGAGGAAGGCTCTGATACCATGTGGGAGCAGGCTGGCAGCGACATGAACGTGGCTCGGGTGGTGCGGGCTGATGTGATGGAGAGCGCTGGCGTGGTTGTGCATGGCGTGGATGGCGTGCTGTTTCCCCACCTCAGAGACAATCCGTATAACACGAACATGACAAGTAACGGCACGGCTGTCAATGGAACCAGCGACGGGAAAGCGAATGGGAGCAGTTCTGCCTATGGGAGTGGAAGGGCGGATGGCAGTCCTGCCAGCAGCAAGGACTCCAGTGGAGGTAGCAGCAGCAAGGGAGATATTAGTAGCAGCAACACAGTGCCCACTGCGGGGACAGTTGATACTGGCACACACGGAAATACAGGTGCTAGAGGTGAGCTTTTTTTATCCTCTCTCTTCCCGCTTTCTCTTCTATTCTCTGATATCTCCTCACCGTTTCTCTTCCATCCCTCAACTCCTCTCTCCTGTACTGTATGTTTCTGGGCATAAGCTTATACAGCATGATTTTGAGGTACCAACCTTCTCTTTTCCCTACTCCCAACTAATCAGCCCTTGCTTGGTTCTTACTGTCATAATAATAACTAGTACTTGGTAGCCATAGTTAGGTTTTTGGGTACTAGCATGAGAGTCGAGATAGTTTAGCAAAGGAGAGAAGGGGTTTGTATTAGAAGGCAATTGGGATACATATAGCAAACCCTAATCTGGGCTGTACTCGCTATAGAGTACCCCACTGCAGACTAGACAAATATCACATTCTGACACACCCCCATAGGCAAAGTGGGGTATAATCAGCACAGCAAGCAGTCACATAATAAGTTCACAAGCACAAGCAAAGTTAGTGGGAGACATAGAGGACTCGTGAGGAGGAGGAGGGACTATGAGAAGAGAGGAGATTGGAGGCAGCGGTTGAAGCTGCTGGCACACGGGCTACTGGAGCAACTGGCACACGGGCTACCGGAGCAAGGGCCCCGGACTACTGGAGTAACTGGCTCCGCGGCTAAGACGAGCGGCTGGAGCAACGGACCCACGGGCGACTGGCGCAACGGGCTCGCTGGCTACCGGAGCAAGGGCATCCGGACTACTGGCGCTGCTGGCTCCACAACGGCTACCTCCGTTCAACCTCCCCCACTGTCGCAGACCCCCTTTTCACACACCCCCCTATGCACCCCTAGCTCCACTCCCACGGCACCCCCCTAGCGCCACTCCCTCGGCTCCCACACATCCACCCCCCTCAGCGTCAGTTGTAGCAGTGGGAGACGGAGGAAGAGGAGGAGCAGGGGACGGTTCACACACCCGCCACCCGCAACCCCAGAGCTGCACGCGCAGGAGGGAGAGGAAGGAGAAAGGGGAGGGGCGGGGGGGAAGCAGCCCCGCGGCGTACGGGGTCAAGAGGCGCCGCGCGGGTCCCCGGGGGCGCCGCGACAGGCGATGGGGGGCGGCGCGCGGGTCCCTGGGGGTGCCGCGACGGGCGACGGGGGCCGGCGCGCGGATCCCCAGGGGCGGCGCGACGGGCGACGGGGGGCCGCGCGCGGGTCCCTGGGGGCGCCGCGGCGGACGACGGGGGGGAGCGCGCGGGTCCCCGGGGACGCCGCGACGGGCAACGGGGGGGAGCACACGGGTCCCCGGGGGCGCCGCGACAGGCAACGGGGGTGGCGCGCGGGTCCCCGGGGACACCGGGACGGAGCGTGAAACCGCCGCGCGCGCCCGGGGCGCGCGGCGGGCAGGAAACTGCCACGCGCCCCGAGCGCAGGGCGGGCAGAAAACCGCCACACGCCCTGAGCGCGTGGCGGGAAGAAAATAGGTCGCGCGCCACGGGGTGCGCGATAGACAGTACAGCAGCGGAAGCAGGTGGGCCCATTAGGTCTTAGGAACGTAACCACTCTGATAGTACGTCAAAATAATAGCTAGTACTTAGTAGCCATGGTTAGGGTTTTGGGTACTAGCATGAGAGTCGAGATAGTTTAGCAAATGAGAGAAGGGGATTGTACTAGCAGGCAGTTGGGATACAAATAGCAAACCCTATCTGGGTTGTACTCACTACAGAGTACCCCACTGCAGACTAGACAAATATCACAATCTGACACTTACCTCCCCCTTCCGCAGGTCATCGAGGCATGCTCCCACTCTGCACTTTGATCCTTACAATCGCAGCTGTTCTCACACTTAGGGCGTGGAAGATCTGTGCGAACAAGTCTTTGGTCGCCCGATTGCGACGGTAACCACTTTCGTGACTCTCCTCAAACCATTGAGCTTCGTAGGAGATTCACGAAGGTTGCTAGAAGCTCGCACGTTCCATTCCCCCGCTTATGCTCTTCGGTTGCCCCACACTTTTGGGCCACGCGGATACGACAAGAATTAGCGATGTAGCAGTTACATGCAGCCAGGTGTTGTCGTAGGTGATGTGCGGCAACCCAATTTGCAGAGCGGTGATTGACGAAGTCAGCAATCTCCATGTACCATCGCGTCTCCTCGCTTCTGGGCGACCATGATCGCATCCTAAACCCGATGTAGGGTTATGTGTTACCTGGTGAAATTTGTCAAAGCTTGTGCGAGGCTAAATTATTGACAAGTGGAGCGAGTTAACACTTGTTCATAAGGATCTTCCACACCCTTTAGATGATTTTGGTGTGTACCACTCTTGGAGGTTACGAGCAGCAATTGGTGATGGATGCGCTACCATCCGAGTCTTGATTGTATAGAGATATCTGTCATAGAGTTTACAAACTTGATAATGTAACCCTCAAAGAGAGTACGGTACCGTGCATTACAGTACTATCTATGGTCCAACAATAAGGTCACTTCAATTCAAAGACCCCGGGCTATCAGACTGTATAAGTGCCAGGGGCGTACCAGGGAGTATCAGTCTGAGGACTTCAAGATTGTCAATGGACAGGTTTTGCTGGCTTGAGTGTCGAATAACCATCACAAAGCTAGACCTAACCTAATCATTTATCCTCTACCTTCACCTTCCCCTTGGCCTTGGGCTGGCACGTGAGCTTGTGCGAGGGCCAGTGGGCCCTTTGGCACTCCCTGCTGCAGTAGGCAGCCTTGCCGCACCGCGAGCATAGCTTCAGCTGCATTTCCGGCCCTTCTACCTTGCCACAGTGTCCCAACGCACACCGACGCCGCCCTCCCTTGTCACCGTGTCCCTCAGCTAGCAGTAGCAGCAGCAGCAGCAGCGGCAGCGGCAGCAAGGGCGTCCACCTTGGCCTGGGGGCAGTAGCTGGTCTCCCCCAGCAGCATCTCCCTCAAACACGCCAGAGGATTCACCCCCCCCGGCCACGGCTCCAGGTACGATGCCGCTGCAATCCCCTTCTCCTTCCCGGCATCCTTCCCAGCATCCTTCCCGGCATCCTTCCCGGCAGCCCTAAGAGCCTCCTCTTCCTCCACCATTGCACGCCTCATGCCCGCACAGCACTCCTCCGAACCCTCCACACGCCACGTTCCTTTCCCTCCTCCCATCTGCAGCGGCGAGTCGTGGGCCTCCACAGCAGGCCACGCTCTCCCAGCCGCAATGCACCAGCTGTCCACCTCCTCCCACATCCTCCACTCCTCCTCCCCCTGCTGCTGCTGCCCCCCCCTTCCTCATCGGTGTCGAGAGGTTCCAGAATATTCGGAATGGCGTACTCCTTTCTCATGTGCAGCATGCCCACGAAGAGCAGCCTCAGGCGCCTCTCCTCTGCCACGCCTTCCAGCAGCGGCGCCACCAGCGAGTCCGGGACCGCTGCAGAGACAGGAGGCACGCGTAGCTTCTCCAAGAGGGATTCAAAGGTCGCAGAGCGGGCCGGAAAGAGCGAGAGGAGGCAGTGCAGCAGCGCGGACGAGGGGCGGTAGGCGAAGGACGCGGCGATTGCTGTGTGTTTCACAGCCCGGTAGTATTGGCAGAAGCAGCGGGAGCAGCGGGTGCAGGCAGGCACGGGAGAAACGGCACCCGCGATCAGCTTAATAAACGCCTCCACCTCCGTTCTGGACCGTAGGATCGGCTTGATCCTCCCTTCTGCATACGGCCCCAGAGCCAGAGCAGCCCACGCTCGATCCCCGAGGCCCAACCCGCCAGCCCAGGAGGTGATAGCCTCAAACAGAGGGCCGTTCCTGCCCTCCCTTGCCAGCTTCTTTGGAGCGAACCTTCTCAGAAACTCCTCCACGCGGTGGCCCAGCGTGGGGAAGAAGTGACCGTTCGAGTTGTCCCGCAGAGCGCTCCCAACACCAGGGCTGCGATGGGAGGTGGACGCGGCGCCCCGGCGGGGCAGGTTCGGCCGGCCTACGTTGTACTCCTTATGCATCTCCTTCTCGTCCAGCCCCCCACCACCGCAAAATGCCCCCACGTGGAAGGTGTTGAGTCCCAAGAACCCAGGGTCCTTCTCTACGTCTGCCAAACCGCCCTTGCCAGACCTTCCTGGCCTGTGGCGGCCGAAAGCTTGGGCACAGCGCCGAACCTCTGCAGCAGGTTCGGTAGGTCGTGAAGTGGATGCGGGAGCGCGATGGCAAACCCTTGCGGGTCGTAGCATCTGCAGTGCTCGGAAGAATTGACCGTGGGGCCATAAAACCGCACCCAGCGCAGCAGGCAGGTGACTCGGTATGTGAACAGCCCAATCACCGCGTTACTGTTCACCGGCACCAGCCTGGCACCAGCGCCGGCGCCGCTTGCACTGCTGGACCCTTTGTTCCTCGCACCTGTAGAGCCGGGAGCAGTAGCTGCAGGAGACACTGTTGGAACTTCTGATTCCATTGCTCGCTTCCCTCGATCCTGCACTCCACTGCCCTGAGTGCTTCTCTCCCCCGCTGCCAACCGGTTCACTGCTCCCTCCACGGCAGCGTCTTCTACGCTCTCCTTGTGGCGGCGGGCAGCACAGTCGGAGAAGACGATAGCAGCATTGTTAGCGAACATGGGCTCGGAGAAGAGAGTGGCGCACTTGAGAGCAAACTCTGTGGGGTCCACACCAGATATCACCATGCCGCTGCCGCCACCACCGCTGCTGCTGCCGCCACTGCTGCCGGGTGGGCATCCCACAGCCCCAGTCGCTGTTCCCTCTGTGCTCTCGCCCTGGCAGCACTGCGAGCAGCGGCAGCGGTACTGCTCGCCTGCCAGCCCTCCCTGGGCGGCAATCTCCCCCACGCGTTCCACATACTCCTCCCACTCCACCCCCTTCAATCCCTCTCTCCACTCCTCCCCCATTTCCCCCTCCGCCCCCAAACCTCCCCCTTCCCCTCCCGCCTGCCCATGCGCGGCCCTCCCACCCGGCAGCAGCGGCAGCAGGTGGGCAGCAAAGCCGGTCTCCAGCTGCTGCTTGCCCTTCACTCCCAGCACCTGCAGCAGCAGCGACGCCACACAGTCATCCTGCGCCTGCCGCCCCGCGTCAAACTGAAACGCCAGGTGGGGAAAGATCGCCGAACCAGACTTGACGTGCGCCCTCCACAGCGTGACGAAGCGGGGGAACTTGGCGACAAGCAAGATGAAAGCAGCGATGGACACGGCACGGCGGTAGCGCGTAAAACAGTCACTGCACAGCCAGCAGCACCACCACAGGCGAGGGTTACCTGCCGCCCTCGTGCCTCTAGACCCAGCGGTGCCTCTAGCCCTGGCTGCCGCACGCGCAGCAGCTATTTCATGCATGCTAAGAAAATCTGCCAGCCGGCGCCTGAGATGCTGGAGGTCCAGTAGCAGGCCGACACGTGGCTCTGCCAGCCATTCGAGCATCATCCCCTCTGCTGCAACCACAGGCGCCGTGTCCACCTTCCACCGATACTGGTCTGCCAAGGAAGGTGCTGCTGCGCGCTCTTCAGCAGCAGCACTGGCAGCAGCAGCTGCAGCAGAGGCGCCAGCGCCAGCAGTGGCACCGCCTGGAGGGCGGAGAGGAGGGGCGGAGAGCGGGACGGTGGCGGAGTAGGCGGTGATGAAGCGCGGGGGCTTAAGGCCGAAGCGGAAGGGCGGCATGGAGGACACGAAAGGCTGCTGCAAGTGCTTGCGAAGAGAGGCGAGGCTTGAGATGCGGAAGGCGACGGGCGGGCGGGGCGGAGCATGCGGGGGAGGCAGCAGGCGCAGAGGGAGTGCGACCACGGCAGGTGCACGTCCACGTAGTGCACCATGTGCGCGCGCGATAGCGGTGCGTGCTCCGTGTGGAAGGGGCTGCCAGAGGTCTTGCTGCTGCCAGCCTTGCTGCTGCCAGCCTTGCTGCTGCCAGCCTTGCTGCTGCCAGCCTTGCTGCTGCCGTGCTGCACCATCGGCCTGCTGTGACCCAGCCTTACATACACAGTAGCTTGATAAGGCATGAATCAAAGCAGCACCTTGATACCAGGCAAACTACAGTATACCTACCATACCATAGTCTTCCTCAACCATCCCACATACGTACACAGCCTGGACAAAATCCCTTCACGCTATCCCACCTAGGACGACTCGCCTCCCCCCTTGGCCTTGGGCTGGCACGTGAGCTTGTGCGAGGGCCAGTGGGCCTTCTGGCACTCCCTGCTGCAGTAGGCAGCCTTGCCACACCGCGAGCATAGCTTCAGCTGCACCCCCGCCCCTTCCACCTTGCCACACCGCAGGGAGGCACAGCCACGCGGCCCTGCCTTGCCATCGGCAGCAGCAACAGCATCCAGCTTGGCCTGGGGGCAGTAGCTGGTCTCCCCCAGCAGCATCTCCCTCAAACACGCCAGAGGATTCATCCCCCCCGGCCACGGCTCCAGGTACCACGCCCCAACCCTCCCCTTGCGCCCCTTTCCCTTCCTGGCAGCGGCAAGAGCCTCCTCTTCCTCCACCATTGCACGCCTCATGCCCTCACAGCACTCCTCCGACTCCTCCCCCTGCACACGCCCCATCCCTGTCCCTGCGCCCATCTGCAGCGGTGCGTCGTGGGCCTCCACAGCAGGCCACGCGTTCCCAGCCGCCATGCGCCAGCTGTCCACCTCCTCCCACATCCTCCACTCGTCTTCCCCCTCCTCCTGCTGCTGCTGCTGCTTCTTACCCTCCACCTGCCCGCCTGCGTCGTTGCCGATGGGTTTCAGAATGGAAGGAAACGCATTGGCCTTACTGATGTGGAGTATGCCCATGTAGATGAGCCCTAGACGCCTCTCCTCCATCACGCCTTCCAGCAGCGGCGCCACCAGCGAGTCCGGGACCACCGCAGGGACAGGCGGCACGCGCAGACTCTCCAGGATAATTCTGAAGGTCGCGGAGCGGACAGGGAAGAGCGAGAGGAGGCAGCGGAGCAGCGCGGACGAGGGGCGGTAGGCGAAGGAGGCGACGAGCGATGTGTGCTTCACGGCTAGGTAGTATTTGCCGATGCAGAGGCGGCAGCGGGTGCAGGCAGGCATGGGCGCATCGGTATCCGCGATCATCTCTATCAACGCATCCACCTCGGTTCTGGACCGTAGGATCGGCTTGACCTTCCCCTCTGCATACGGCCCCAGAGCCAGAGCCGCCCAGCTTCGCTCCTCCATGCCCGAACAGGCAGCCCAGGAGGTGATGGCGCGGGCCAGAGGGCCGTTCCTGCCCTCCCTTGCCAGCTTCTTGGGCGCGAACCTTCTCAGAAACTCCTCCACGCGATGGCCCAGCGTGGGGAAGAAGGGCCCGCTGGTGTTGTCCTGTACAGTGCTCCAGACACTAGGGTTGGGATGAGAGGCGGATGTGCAGGCCAGGTGGGCCGGGCTAAGCTCCCTCAGATTGTACTCCTTCTTTATCTCCTCCCTGTCCAACTTACCGCCACGAAACGCCCCCACCTGGAACGTCTTGATCCCCATAAACTCTCCAGGGTCCTTCTTCTCATGCGCCGCCACTGCAGCCCTGTCCCCCTCTGGAAACTCCTCCCAGCCCGACCTTGCCTGACCTTCCTGGCCTGTGGTGGCCGGAAGCTCGGGCACGGCGCCGAACCTCTGCAGCAGGCTCGGAAGGTCGTGAAGAGCGATGCCTGGCTTTCTCTGATCAGGGCATGCGCAGTGGTCAATGGAGTTGACCCGGAACCCGTAGAGTCGCACCCATCGCAGCAGGCAGGTGACTCGGTAGGTAAACAGCCCAACCACCGCATTACTGTTCACTGGCACCAGCCTGGCGCCGCTTGCAGTGCCGGATCCCTTGGTCCTCGCACCTGTAGACCCAGGGGCAGCAGTAGCAGCAGGAGCCGCTGCACCTTTCCCCCCTGCAGCCAGCCGGCGAAGTGCCTCCTCCACAGCAGCGTCCTCTACTCTCTCCTTGTGGCGGCTGCCAGCACAGTCGGAGAAGATGAGAGCAGCAGCGCGGGCGAACATGGGCTGGCAGAAGAGAGTGGAGCTTAGGAAAGCAAACTCCGTGGGGTCCACACCAGTTACCACCATGCCACTGTTGCTGTTACTGCTACTGCTACTGCTACTGTTGCCACCAGCTCCAGCCCCAGTCACTGTTCCCTCGGTGCCCTTCCCTCGGCCGACACTGCTGCCGAGTGGGTGGCCCACAGCCCCAGTCACTGTTCCCTCGGTGCTCTCTCCTTCACCACACTGCGAGCAGCAGCAGCGGTACTGCTCGCCTGCCAGCCCTCCCTGGGCGGCAATCTCCCCCACGCGTTCCACATACTCCTCCCACTCCACCCCTCTCAACCCCTCCCTCCACTCCTCCCCCGGGACCCCTCCCGTCCCCCCACTTTGACTCACTCCTCCCCCTTCTGCCTGCCCATGCGCGTCCCTCCCACCCGGCAGCAGCGGCAGCAGGTGGGCAGCAAAGCCGGTCTCCAGCTGCTGCTTGCCCTTCACTCCCAGCACCTGCAGCAGCAGCGACGCCAAGCAGTCGCCCTGCGCCTGCCGCCCCGCGTCAAACTGGAAAACCAGCTCAGGAAAAATCACAGAACCAGACCGGATGTGTGCGCGCCACAGCGTGACGAAGCGGGGGAACTTGGCGACAAGCACGATGAAAGCAGCGATGGACACGGCACGGCGGTAGCGCGTCCAGCAGTGGCTGCACTGCCAACAAGACCACCACAGGCGAGAGCTACCTGCCGCTCTGTTGCCTTTAGCTGTGGCGATGCCTCTAGTCTCGGTGGCTGCACGCGCAGCAGCTATTTCATGCATGTGAAGAAGAGCTGCCAGCTGGCGCCGGAGATTCTCGAGGTCCAGTAGCAGGCCGACACGTGGCTCTGCCAGCCACTCCAGAATCATGGCCTCTGCTGCAACCACAGGCGCTGAGTCCACCTTCCACCGATACTGCTGCGCCAACGACGGCGCTGCTCCGCTCTCTTCGGCAGCAGCACTGGGAGGAGCAGTGGCAGCAGTAGCAGGACTTGGAGGGCGGAGAGGAGGGGCGCCTGGAGGGCGGAGCGGGTCGGCGGAGAGAGAAACGGTGGCGGAGTAGGCGGTGATGAAGCGCGGGGGCTTATGGCCGAAGCGGTAGGGCGGCATGTTGGGCACGTAAGGCTGCTGCAGGTGCTTGCGCAGGGAGGCGAGCGAGGAGATCTGGAAGGCGATGGGCGGGGCGGGGCGGAGCATGCGGGGGAGGCAGCAGGCGCAGAGGGAGTGCGACCACGGCAGGTGCACGTCCACGTAGTGCACCATGTGCGCGCGCGATAAGGGCGTGTTCTCCGTGTGGAAAGGGCTGTCAGAGCTCCTGCTGCTGCTGCCAGCCTCGCTGCCACCGGTGGTGCTTCTGGGTTTACTTCCACTGCCGCTGCTGCTGCTGCCACTGCCGCTGCTGCTGCTGCCACTGCCGCTGCTGCTGCTGCCACTCCCGCTGCTGCTGCTGCCACTGCCGCCGCTACCGCTGCTGCCGCTGCCGCTGCCTTTGCCGCTGCCTTTGCCGCTGCCGCTGCCCACGGTGTAACTGTTATTTGTCGCGTTTGTGTTGCTGTCCGCATGCGCGGGGAGAGCCGAAGGTGCGGCACGTTCAGACGGTGCCGGCGCAGAGGGAGAGGAGCGCGTAGGGGCAGAGTCTGAAACAGGAGACGGTGACATCTCGGATGTGGGGTTTATCGCAGGGGTGAGCGACAAAGCTTCGAGTTCTGTGACTGGTGCACAAGCGCTAGCAGCCACCGGTGCATCATTTATGCCAGTATTCCCGGCTTTCCCTCCCGTCGCCTCTTTCGATTTCACTGCCAGCACTTTGATCACTGTACCCGATTTGAGTCTGGCCTTGGCGACGGATACGGTAGGCGATAAGTATACCACTTGCCCAACAGCCATGAACCGAACAGCCTGCTTCTCTTCGCCCTCGCTGCTGCTTCCTTTCCCCTCCACCAGGATTTTTGCGTTCCCCGCGTCATCATGTTGCTGACGTGTCTGCTGACCAGGCAGGCAGCAGTGCGGCAGGTGGGACAGGAAGAGCTTGTCAAACGCTGATTGGAGAGGCTCCTGCGGATAAACGGTGATGGGATAGTCCACGTGGGAAGCCGCTGGCTGTTGGATCGTGGCAGCGCCGCTTCCTCCTTCGCCGCATTCAGCGGCAAGGCTGGTGGCAGCACTGCTGCTAGCGTCTATGATGCTGCCAATATTCGCATCACTGTGGCTCGCTCTGAGCAGAACAGAGGGAACTCGAAATCGAAGCGTGAATTCCATGTCACATGAAGATTGAACACGAGGCCTAGACGGGAAGGAGAACGCTCAGCGAGCACTAACTTGGATCTATCGGTAACTATGTGCTTTCCTGGTTGGAATAACGCGCATCCAACCAAACCCAAGCTACGGCTATGATGGCTGCATGCATGTTACACAACGAAAATGCTTTGATCGGAGGGCCATGTTGAGAGCGACAAAACCCAATGTGTCATTCCATCCAAATCACGGTTCGGTTTGTAAGCCTAGCCGCTTGGGCAGCTACGGGAGTTTATCCTACGGGAACAAAATAGAATGTTGCGATGAACTCCACGATAAACTACTCAGAAATGTGCGTAGTGTGGTTTATCCTACGCGCTTCGATTTCGGGTTCCTTCTATTTTGTTCAAGAGCCAAAATGATGCGAATGACAGCAACAGCATTGACTCTAGAAGCAGCGTTGCGACTGGCCTTGCCGCTGAATGCGGCGAAGGAGGAAGCGCGGCTACAGCCCAACAGCCAGCGGCTTCCCACGTGGACTTTTTCATCGCCGTTGATCCGCATGAGCCTCTCCTATCAGCGTTTGACAAGTTCTTCCTGGGGCCATTTTCAGGTGCGATCCCAACAGTACGGGAAACGTACTCAGGTGGGAGCCCAAAACTTTCCGCCACTGTTACGGGCACTGTTCTGGCACTGTACACACGTGCAGCAACAGACCCTTGAACCAATTCGCCTCTCACTCACTGTTCTAGCTGACGGACTTTTGTTCACTGACGCCCACTGACGGAATTCGAACAAACAACATGGCCAAACCAGCCTGGTCGAGCGCAACCCACACCCCCACTCCCCAACCCCGCCCCCCCCCTCCCCCCCGCGCAACCTCCTCACCAAACTTGCTGGTGAGGTAGCGCTCGAGCGAATGCTTGCGGGAAATCCTCCGCAGCATCCATCGTGGCTACTCCGAGATGAGACATGAGTTCAGCGGCGTAACTGTAACCAGATGTTGAAAATATGTGTTATGAGTTTTACTAGACAGAGTGCGCGATAGACTTTTTAAAGAGAATGTAATTACAGAATTACTGAATGACGATTGAATGAACAAAGGAAACATTTATAAGGCGAATGCGTGCTAGGCGAGAACCTCGTGACGTGCGAGGTTTGGATGTGTCGCGATTGGTGCGAGGCGACTCGGAAGTGGTTCGGGACGAAATGTAGGCCGAACCAGAATCTGGCGCGAAGAGCTCGGGGCTGTCCTCGCAAGGAGCAGCTTCGGCAGTAATGAATTGTACATTCATTACAATATGTATGGAATTGCAATTCCTTTCACAGCCATGCATTTTATCATGTGTTAAAATATCTGTTGAATTACTAAGGGCACGCACATGTTTTGCCTGGATACGTATAGATGCCGTAGCATGCATATTCAAATGCACTAGTATTTCCAGGGTTTAGGGTTTTTTCTTTACGATTGCGATTCGGCTCCACACGCACGAAATATAAGACGGTAAGGGTTTACCGGTAGGCGCCAACATGTAAGCACATTTTGTCACATGTGGAACAACACATATGATATGCCACACCATTATTACTGAGAATCGGAGGGGTTGATACATAAATTTATGAGCATGTACACCTCACAATAATAATATAAAGTTTAGAGATAACTATTGAGTGTGTGTATTTGTGCGTGTGTTTGTGTATCTGTGTGTGCGTGTGTGTATGTGTGAGTGTATGTGTGTGTATGTGTCTGTGTGTATGTGCGTGTGTATATGTATGTATATGTGTGTGTATGTGTGTATGTGTGTATGTGTGTACGTGTGTGTGTGTATGTGTATGTATGTGTAGGTGTGTGTGTGTGTGTGTATATGTGTGCGTGCGTGTATGTGTGTGTGTGTATGTGTATGTTTGTGTGTCTGTATATGTATCTATGTGTGTATGTGTATGTGTGTGTGTGTGTGTGTATATGTGTGTGTGTGTGTATATATCTGTGTGTGTCTGTATGTGTGTGTGTGTATGTGTATGTGTGTTTGTGTATGTGTGTGTGTATGTGTATATATATATGTGTATATGTATGTATGTGTATGTGTGTTTGTGTGTGTGTGTCTGTGTGTATGTGAGTGTATGTATATATGTGTGTATGTGCGCGCGCGCGTGTGTGTGTGTGTGTGTGTGTGTGTGTGTGTATGTGTGTGTGTGTGTGTGTGTGTGTGTATGTGTGTGTATGTGTATGTGCGCGAGTGAGCGCGTGCGTGTGTGTGCAAGTACGTGCGCGCACAAGCGCGAGCGTGAGTGCATGCGTGTAAGTGTGTATATGTGTCTGGTGGGAGTTTCATGTGTTACCATACGCGTGATTTTCGAGCTGTTGTTAGTGACTTTTCCCGTGACCCCACTTACCAAGGCCGTCAAGATACTCGATACAGTTACCGTATGCATTTTTTCTTTACCATCGTCGTTATCGGGTCACATGATGGTTACTTGTGGCATATATTCCCAAATTACTTTGTCTGTTTAGTGACACCAGGCTTTAGATACAGTGAGTTAAAGATTTGACTGAAGCAGAATTTTGCAGATTTCGTGTTAACTGATCAAGGACATAACTTAAATTAACCATTCCTAGTAAAATTGGAAAATAATATAACCTCATCCAAAATCACCTACACATAGAGTCAAGAAACGCACCGCATTGCCAATCCTGTTTTGACCAAGTTTTCTGGTTTTAGTTTTGGAAAAGTGAATTCGTGTCACAGAAGATGTGGGAGATCAAAAATAGCTGACATCACATCTCTCTCCCCAAGCTTCAACACGGCTGTGCAGAAGACTGTAGTGGGCCAATCAAAAAAACAAATAATGGTCGAGCAATGCAGCAAACAAGGGAGGTTAACTTATAATACGTGTGTGGGAGTGGTTGAGGTGAGGAAACATCAAATGATAGGTTCAAGAGTAGCTGCGACATATAAACGTCAAAGGGAGGTAGTCATGTAGCAAGAACACGGCAATGGATGCGTAGGGGCAATTTACCTTTGTGACGTTACGGTCTGCCAAACTCCCTTGATGCACGCATCCTCAAAATCGTTTCACGCCTTTGCTGCCGCCGATAGCGTTGCTGCTGCTGCCTTTGCCAATGCTGTTGTTGCTGCAAAGGCTGCTGATGCTGCAACAGCTGCTGCTGCCGCTGCTGCTGCTGCTGCTGGTGCTGCTCCTGCAATGGATGATATTGCTGGGGCTGCTGCTGCTGCTGCTGCTGCTGCTGCCGCTGCTGCTGTTGCTGCTGGCGCTGCTGCTGCCCCTGCTGGTGCTGCCCCTGCAACTGCTGATATTGCAGGGGCTGCTGCTGCTGCTGCTGATGCTGCCACCCTACCGGCCACTCCTCCTGCCAAGGATGTTGACGCAGCATAGGCTGATGCTGGCGTTGCTGATCCAGCTGCTGATGCAGCTGTCCATGCGGCTGCACCTGCTGCTGCTGTTGCTGCTGGCGCTGCTGCTGCCCCTGCTGGTGCTGCCCCTGCAATGGCTGATATTGCTGGGGCTGTTGCTGCTGCTGCTGAAGCTGCCACCCTAACGGCCACTCCTGCTGCCAAGGATGTTGACGCAGCATAGGTTGATGCTGGCGTTGCTGATCCAGCCGTTGATGTCGCTGTCCATGCGGCTGCACTGGCTGCTGCTGTCCCCACTCTTGCTGCTGCAGATGCTGCGGTGGTTGATGGTTCAGTAAACGTTGCAGCTGCAATACTTGTTGTTTCAGTTGCTGCAACATTGAAGCATCATTCACACCCTGCGCCCCTCGTTGGTCTCCCCTCTCTGCAGCACCACCTTGGCGACGTGAACGCTGATTCCGTTGACTCCCTCTCACCCTTCGGCCACCAGGTTGTGTGCGCCCACGTCTCACATTCGAGTCATCGCCCTCTTCTTCGAAATTAGACTCCACTTCACCGTCCTCAGGGACGACCTCAACCTGCAGCCGAAACCGTTGTCGCCGTCGCAACCTTCTTGTTGCAACTGGGTCAGCGTTACGGGGCTGACCGTGGACACGGACCACCGACCAAAAAGGTGCCATAGGATTTGTACTATGCGTAACATTAGTCTCCGCAATAGTTGTCTCCCCTTCTCTCTGCTGCCCCCCGTCTCCCTGCACTTGTTCTCTCTGCTGCTCCCTGTCTTCCTGCACTTGTTCTCTATGCTGCTCCCCTTCCGCCACCTCGGAACCTCCATTAGCCCTCTGAGTGTGAACGGTGCTTGGCTGAACATCAAATTCTTGCATGGGTAAAGTACCCACACTTGAGATGATGTGACCATGCGGGCCTTCGTGTTGCACCTGAGCATCTCCCATGGTAAGTATCTCATCCATCGCAGCATCTCCAATTCTACTGGCTGTGCCCAAACCGTCCCCACCTTCTCCATCTGAATCATCACAATCACAGTCATCATCCGATGACTGCTCCTCCATACCTCCACCTGCTCCACTCTCAGCCTCCCTCGGGTCGATCGCCCTACCTGCATTACCATCCTCAATCACATCCGCCACACTTGTGGTGCGAGTCACTTGCTGCTCTACTTGCAATAATTCCATATCATCTTCAGAAGATTCACTTCCTTCGTCAGCTTCTTCATCAATGTCCTCTATTTCAACCAACCATTCGGCAGGTGGGGTTGAACCACGTTGTCTATGCAACACTTGTCCACTCTCCTGCCCCCCTTCTCCCTGCACCTGTCCTACCTGCTGCCCCCCGTCTCCCTGCACTGGCAACTGCTGCTGCTGCCCCCCGTCTCCCTGTTGGGGCTGCTGCTGCTGCCCCCCATCCCCCTGCACTGGCTGCTGCTGCTGCTGCCCCCCATCTCCCTGCACTGGCTGCTGCTGCTGCTGCCCCCGGTCTCCCTGCACTGGATGCTGCTGCTGCGGCCCCCCATGTCCCTGCACTGGCTGCTGCTGCTGCTGCCCCCCGTCTCCTTGCACTGGCTGCTGCTGCTGCTGCCCCCCGTCTCCCTGCACTTGTCCTCTCTGCTGCTCCCCTTCTCCTGGCAGCTGTCTCTCTTGCAACTCCCCTCCTCCCTGGGCTTGTTCCCTCTGCAGCTCCCCTTCTCCCTGCACCTGCCCTATAGGCTGCTCCCCTCGTCCCTGCACCTGTCCCCCTCGGCCCCCTCCTCGTCCCTGAACCTCACCTCTTTGTTGCTCCGCTCGTCCGCTTCGACATCTGTCCCGCAGCCTATGTCGATGGCCACATGCCTCGCAGGCTTGATACCTCCCCCCAACGCGTGGAACCACACTCGTTTGAAGTGTGATATGGTCTTGCACCGACCTTTGAGCCCCCCGTGACCTTGCCTCTCTCTCTTCACATGTGCGAACATTGTGCCCCTTCCTCTTGCACCTCCCACATTTCCGCATTTTCTGTGGGTCAAACTCGCCCCTAGAGCGAATACGCGTGGTTCTTCTTCTTCCCGCCTTCTTTTTGTACTTCGGAGGAAGGGTGATTCTGTCAGGGATGCATGACGATGGATCCACGGGGATGATCTTCTCCGAGTACATGGCTTTCAGTGTCTCCAAGTGGTACACGCGGTGGACCATGTCAAAGGGCAGACGGTCGTCTCCCGAAACAGCAAAAATGTGTACACAAGGGAGGCCATATTCCCTGTAAGGATCACAGGGTTTTGAAGAAATCAGTCAATGATATGCACGTCTCATGGCATTGAAGTTAACAGCAGCAACAACAGTGGGAAAAGCACAGCAGCAGCAACAGCAGCAGAACCAAGGGGCAGCGGCAGCACATGGGAAAAGAACAGCAGCAACAACCCTAGAATTGATACAGCAACGGGGACAGCAGTAGAGTACGGAAGCAGCTGCATCATCAGCAGAGTACGGCAGCAGCAGAGGTTCACAAAGACAGCAGCAGCAGTAACTGGGTAAAGAAGCACGAGCAGCAACCGGGGATAGCAGCAGCAGCAATTGGGAGAGGAGGGGGGGCAGCTATTGACAGTACCTGCTGTAGTTGCATGTGCACGTCTTGGCATCAAGATCCACAATGCGTGTTTCATGTCGTTCAGGATGCTTGACCACCCATCGCCCTTCTGGAAGCAGCTCCACGGTGTAACTTGAAGAATCTGCAAGGTTTCCTCGTACAACCTCAGTTGCTGTGGTGCTCCATTCCCCTGCAGTCTTTGAGTATGCCATGTAACGGTCTCCCCGTGTTAGAGCGAGCTTCAAGGCCCAACTCAAAATAACAAAACCAATCACCTTGTCCCTCAACTGGGACATAGATGCATGTTGCGACTCGACTGGGTTTGACGAGAGGCATCCAAACCTAGCTGCAGGAAATTTTGCCGTTGCCCATTTCGCGGCCAGCTGCCCATCTTCCCCTTCCAGGTACGCTCGCCCACCGGGACACATGTCATCCAGCTTGCCCATCCGAAACTCATAGAGCTGCTCTGTCAAGGTCTCAGATGCGTCTCGTATGAGTTGACTGAGATCCATGCCAAACTTGGCCTTGAAATTGCGTGTCAGATGGGTCACACAATAAGAAACACGTGCATTAGGGAGGACCTCGCGACAAGCCGCGTCCCACCCTTTTGCACGATCATGCTTGATCGTCCAAGCCGCGGTATTCAGCTCTGGAAACACCCGAAGCAGCTCTCTCAGTGGTAAAGAGCACCCTTCTTTGCTCTCTGACTCGACAAACGCTATGCCCACGGATATGTAGTGACCTTCCCCATCAAGCACAACAAGGTTGATGGTATGGCCTCCCCACACAGATTTGTTGTGACACCCATCCACAATCAGAATTGGGATGGCATTCAACATTGTAGACCTTGCAACGTTCGATATGATGGAGGCACTGAAAAAACGCCCTTCTCGCTTGTTAAAGAACACAAGGGTTCCCGGGTTCTTAATCACTAGCCTCTCCATGATGCTTTTCACAAACTGAAATGACTTTTCAGTTTGCAAAGGGTCGTTCTCCTTGAGGTCATTCAAGGCTCGCCATGCTGTAGCGTACGATGATTTGGACCCTTGACGCTGCTGCATTTCATTTTGTAGGGTCTTAGGGGTCATGCCGACTATCGGCAAAGACATAGCAAGGGAGATGAGGTTTCTCCTACGGGCGGGACGAGGACGGACTGTGCAACGGTTATGGTGGTGCAAGTGTGAGGTTACGACGCGCATGCCGCCTGATGCTCTGAGCCGAAGGTTAATCTTGAAAGGACACTTCAGCCCAAGCAAAGCAGACTGCGTTGGGCCTCTAACGGACCTACTAAACATGGATGGACACTTCACATCCAACCTTTTTGGAGACCTCACTGCAAACACGTACGGCACACGCAAGCGATGACATTGGTCCTCAATGTCATCGCGCGCATCGACGGCATTACGATAGTACTTTCCGACCTCAAAATCCAAGGACCGATTGCCATTATCCATCTGTAGACATAAAAAGAAGGAAGGGGAGGTATAGGGGACGGAAGGGTGGTGGACTCTCTTTAGGAAAAGAGGGTATCGTGGGCGGAGAGCGACCTGCATGCAGTGTCACTGACAGAAGGGTCAAGTGAGGATGGCCGGTTACCACAGCAGCAGCAACCACATTTTGTCACTTGTCTCAAGATGCCAATACCTATAGCAATCATCCTAGACTGAAGAACACTGCAGTAAAAAATAATGAACTTCAGTATAAACTCTGAACAGCAGTCCACAACCGTCAACAGCAGTCAAGAGCAATCAACACTAGTCAGCGGCAATCAACAATTATCAACAGCAAACAACAGCGTAGTCAACAACATACAACAACCGTCAACAGGATACAACAACAGTCAACAACATACAACAACAGTCAATAGCAGATAACAACAGTCAATAGCAGACAACAACATTCAACAACAAACAACAACAGTCAACAGAAGTCTACATCACTCCAAAACAGTCAAGAGCAGTCAACCGCAACCCCATAGCAATAAACAGCAGGCCATTTTCAAACACGTTGGGCAGAGGCTCCACAGCTCCACAACCTAGGTGACACTTACATGAGCAAGAACTGGGAGAGTCTTGACAGAACCGTGGGGAAGGGCCCGGAAAAATTAAATGTTCCCAAGGTCACTGAAAGGAACAAGGGTGGGAGAGCAGAAAAGCTAGAGCTGAGTAGAGGAGTAAATGAGAGGGAAGGATGCGATCGGAGGGTCTTTTTCAATGGTTGTGAGGCAGATTTTACATCATTTTAATATGCCTCACAATCAAGAGTTCTTTAAGTGGCTGGGTCTGAGCAAGAAAGGCTTTGGCCAATCACTTCATTGATTGCAATGTGAATGGCAGTCACTATGACGCTACGGTGACGAAGTATCCAAAGAGAACCGATGTACCATAAGATATAGCAGCTCCTCTCTTACATCGCAATTCCAAGCTCTTGGCGATTATGTGTCAAGAGAGAATACACGTGAAATGCGAAATGCAACGACCAAGAGGAGGTAAATTGATCAAGGGGGAAATTGGTTTGAGTTACGAGACAAGATAAACGCTGTTGGAGAATTAGGGTTACGAGGGCGAACGTTGACTAAGTCTGGAGAGGAGGATGCACTGGGCGACTGCACTGCCTCCGCTTCACAGCTTGGGTGAGCGCGGAAGTTGGGGGGGGGCGGGGTTGGGGAGTGGGGGTGTGGGTTGCGCTCGACCAGGCTGGTTTGGCCATGTTGTTTGTTCGAATTCCGTCAGTGGGCGTCAGTGAACAAAAGTCCGTCAGCTAGAACAGTGAGTGAGAGGCGAATTGGTTCAAGGGTCTGTTGCTGCACGTGTGTACAGTGCCAGAACAGTGCCCGTAACAGTGGCGGAAAGTTTTGGGCTCCCACCTGAGTACGTTTCCCGTACTGTTGGGATCGCACCTGAAAATGGCCCTTCTTCCTGTCCCACCTGCCGCATTGCTGTCTGCCAGGTCAGCAGACACGTCAGCAACATGATGACGCGGAGAATGCAGGAGTTCAGGAAGAGGGGAAGGGGAGCAACGGGAGCGACGAAAAGCAGGCTGTTCGGTTCATGGCTATCGGACAAGTGGTGTACTTATCGCCTGCTGTTTCCGCGGTCAAGGCGAGGCTTAAATCGGGTACAGTTATCAAAGTGCTGGCAGTGAAATCGAAAGAAGTGAAGCGCGAGAATCCAGAGCAGATCAGCGCGGGCAACAGCAGCGGCAGCAGTGGCCCGAATAACGCTGTCGCTGGGGTTGAGGCAACAGCGGAGGGGGAGGAGAGAAGTCCAGTGGTTGCTGATTGCGCGCATCCCCCGCTTGCAGCTCCTCAAAGTAATCAGACTTGCGCGTCCATGACCACTCCCCCCGGAAGTTCCACTCCTGAGATTTCAGGCTCCCCTGCTGCTGACTTAGACTCTGCTCTCATCTCTGCGCCAGCCTCCGCCCCTGCCCCCGTCTCCACCGCACTGGTCTCCGCCTACGTGCTTGCCTCCGCCTATGCATTCATCTCCGCCTCCGCATTCGCCTGCGCCTCCGCACTTGTCTCCGCCTCCGTAGCTGTCGAACCTTCTCCTTTCCCTGCGCCTGCCACGGGCACCACCAGCATGGGCACCCCTACTACTGGCTCCGGCACCACCGACATCGGAACCAGCAGCAGCAGCAGCTCCAGTGACCAAACCAGCAGCGGAGGAGGCAGCAGCAGTGGCACAGGCGCCCCCCCTCATGCGGAGCACGCTCGTATACCCCTCCATCACGTGGAGCACGTGCCGCTGGCCCGGCCGCACATGGTGCACTACGTGGACGTGCACCTGCCGTGGTCGCACTCCCTCTGCGCCTGCTGCCTCCCCCGCATGCTCCGCCCCGCCCCGCCCGTCGCCTTCCAGATCTCCTCCCTCTCCTCCCTGCGCAAGCACCTGCAGCAGCCCGTGCCGCCCTCCATGCCGCCCTTTCGCCTCCCCAACAAGCCCTCGCCCTCAATCCTCGCCTACTCCGCCACCGTTTCGCTCTCCGCCCCTCCTCTCCGCCCTGCAGGCAGGGCCGGCGCCGCTGTTCCTGCTGCTGCTGCGAGCGCTGCGCCTGAGCTGTCCCCCACCCCATCATTGGCGCAGCATTATCGGTGGAAGGTGGACGCGGCGCCTATAGTTGCAGCTGAGGCCATGATGCTCGAATGGCTGGCAGAGCCACGTGTCGGCCTGCTACTGGACCTCCAGCATATACGGCGCCAGCTGGCATATATTCTGGGGATTGATAGTCTGGCTGCTGCGCGTGCAGCCGCTAGAACTAGAGGCACGGGAGAGGCAGCCAGCCGTCAAGAACTGTGGTGGTGCTGCTGGCAGTGCAGCCACTGCTGGACGCGCTACCGCCGTGCCGTGTCCATCGCTGCTTTCATCGTGCTTGTCGCCAAGTTCCCCCGCTTCGTCACGCTGTGGAGAGCACATATTCGGTCTGCTACTGTGGCGTTTCCCAACGTGGCGTTTCAGTTCGGCGCGGGGCGGCAGGCGCAGGGCGACTGCTTGGCGTCGCTGCTGCTGCAGGTGCTGGGAGTGAAGGGGAAGGAACAGCTGGAAACCGGCTTTGCTGCCCACCTGCTGCCGCTGCTGCCGGGGGGGAGGGACGCGCATGGGCAGGCGGGAGGGGGAGGGGGAAATCGGGGGAGGGGAGGGAGACGGGGCGAGGAGTGGAGGGAGGGGTTGGGATGGGTGGAGTGGGAGGAGTATGTGCAGCGTCTTGGGGAGATTTCCGCCCAGGGAGGGCTGGCAGGCGAGCAGTACCGCTGCTGCTGCTCGCAGTGCTGTACGGGAGAGGGCACGGAGGGAACAGCGACTGGGGCTGTGGGCGACCAACCCAACAATAGCGGCCACAGTGGGGGCAGCAGCGATGGCAGCAGTGGCAGTGGCTGTGGCAGCAGTGGCAGCAGCAATGGTAACGATGGCAGAGGCAATGGCAGCAGCAGTAGCATGGTGGTATCGGGTGTGGACCCCACTGAGTTCGCCCTCAAGTGCGCCACTCTCTTCTGCCAGCCACTCTTCGCCAATTGTGCTGCTCTGGTCTTCTCGGACTCAGCTGGCAGCAGGATCAAGGAGAGAGTGGAGGATGCTGCCGTGGAGGAGGCACTTAACCGGCTGGCAGCGGGGGAGAAAGGCACACAGGGCAGTGGAGTGCAGGATCGAGGGAAGCGAGCAATAGAATCAGATCTCCCAAGAGCGTCTTCTGCTGCTGCTGCTGGGTCTACAGGTGCCAACAAGGGATCCAGCACTGCAAGCAGCGCAAGGCTAGTGCCAGTGAACAGTAACGCGGTGGTTGGGCTGTTCACCTACCGAGTCACCTGCCTGCTGCGGTGGGTGCGGCTCTATGGTTTCAGGGTTAACTCCTCTGAGCACTGCTTATGCTCCGACCGGAAAAAACCTGCCATCGCCCTCCCGCATCCAATCCACGACCTTCCGAACCTGCTGCAAAGGTTCGGCGCTGCGCCCAAGCCTCCGGCCACCACAGGCTCGGAATCTTCGGCTGCCACGGGCTGGAAGGAATTTCCAGAGGGGGACAGGGCGACAGTGACAGAGCGTGAGAGGGACACGGGGGAGTTCATGGGGATCAAGATCCTTCATGTGGGGCCGTTTCAGGGCGGTGAGGTGGATAGGGAGGAGGTGAAGAAGGAGCACAACGTGAGGGAGCTCAACCTGCCCCCCCTGGGTGCACCGCCCACCGTGAACCGCAACCCTGGTGGCGGGTACACTCTGCAGGACAACACCAGCGGTCCGTATTTCGCCACACTTAGCCATCGCGTGGAGGAGTTTCTGAGAAGGTTCGCGCCGGCAAGGCTGGCAAGGGAGGGCAGGAACGGCCCTCTGGGGCGCGCTATCACCTCCTGGGCTGGCCGCTTGGGCCTTGGTGATCGTGCCTGGGCTGCTCTGGCTCTGGGGCCGTTTGCTCCTGTCAGGTTAAAGCCGATCCTACGGTCCAGAGTCCAAGTTGATATCCTGATAGAGATGATCGCGGGAAACATTCTGCCTGCACCTGTGTGCACCCGCTGCGACCGCTGCATTGGCAAGTACTACATGGCTGTGAACCTCACATCGCTCGTCGCCGCCTTCGCCTACCGCCCCTCGTCCGCGCTGCTGCGCTGCCTCCTCTCACTCTTCCCGCCGCGCTCGGCGCGCTTCAAAAGCTTCCTAGAAACTCTGGGCGTGGCGCCCGTCCCTGTGGTGGTCCCGGACTCGCTGGTGGCGCCGCTGCTGGAAGGCGTGATGGAGGAGCAGCGGCTGCCGCTCATCTACTATGGCACTCAGCACATTCTGAAAGAGGAAGGCTTGGAGGCCATTCTGGAACTTGTTGAGCAGGACCGGGGTGCGCGCGCAGGAGGGGAGGGACAGCAGCAGCAGCAGCAGCAGGAGGGGGAGGAGGAGGATGTGGGAGGAGGTGAACAGCTGGCGCATGGCAGCTGAGAACGCGTGGCCAGCTTTGGAGGCACATGGCACGGCGCTGCAGAGGGGAGCTGGTAGGAGAATGGGTGGAGTGGAGGAGGAGGAGTTGGAGGAGTGCTGTGAGGGCATGAGGCGTGTTATGAGGGACGATGTGGCTGTAGCGGCTGCTAGGAAGGAAGCTCTGTATGCCATGATCATTGCTGCTGGTGACCCTGGAGCCACTGGTGCGATTGGGGGTATGGGGACTGGCGAGGGGCGGAGGGGGAAGGCGGTGGCATCGTACCTGGAGCCGTGGCCGGGGGGGGTGAATCCTCTGGCGTGTTTGAGGGAGATGCTGCTGGGGGAGACCAGCTACTGCCCCCAGGCTAAGGTGGATGCTCTTGCTGCTGCTGCTGGCGGTGCTGCTGCTGCCCCTGGTGAGAGGGATGGAGCTGAGACGAGAAAAGGCAAGGCAGAGCCGCGAGGCTGTTCCTCCCCACAGTGTGGCGAGGTGGAAGGGGTGGGGGTGCAGCTAAAGGTGTGTGCGCGATGCAGTAAGGCTGCCTATTGTAGTAGGGAGTGCCAGAAGGCCCACTGGCCCTCACACAAGCTCACCTGCCAGCCCAAGGGGAAAGGAAAGACGGAGGATAAATGATGTCGGGTAGGGAAGGCTATACAACATTCAAGCCAGCGAGTACCCTCCAAAACATATTTGTTTTTCTCCTTCATATGCTATTACCGTAGTTGGTTCAGGGAAAATTACAGGTGAACTTATGTCTGTATTGCATATGTCTTTTTCATGTGTGACAGGTGTAGAGTTTCTGCAGTGTAGCGTTCCCCGAACCGCGCGAGTCTGTCGGGACAGTGTTTTGGTCTTCCCGCCAAACCTGACTTGGGCAACGGGGTCAACGGATGAGGTCGTATCCCTGGCTTGTGGCAAGTTACTGTAGGTGGCATGCCACCAACTCTAAAAACACATGGAGGAATAAACCTCCATGTGTCAAGAGGGGATGGTTCGGGAAGTTGATTCGGACGCGTCGCAACACCCGCATTGCGACAACCGACAAATCGCCTGACACCCAAACACCAGCCAAATTGCAGATCGCACAAACAAATCGCCCGCGCGCCCAACAGTCAAGTGAAGACGCGAAACCGTCACAATTCCCGGCGGGAAATTGGAACACATCCAATTTCCCAACAGCCATGCGGAACAGATCCAACTTCACGAAGGCATAAACCGTACAGACAATGGACGATCTGCATGCTTCAGCAGATTACGAACCAAGGCAGCTCACCACACAACAAGCGCACCAACATGCCTCCTCGTAAAAGTCGTAGCCAGAAAGGCAAGCAGAAAGCAGACGAGCAGAAGCCCTGGGTTGATCCGCCTTACGTAGCCTGGATGAAATCGCGGCAAGCTCAAGGAGCTTCCAACCCACGCATCGCTAACGAGGCTGCCGACAGCCCCCGATCAACATCCCAGTACATCGCGCACGACGAGGACGGCCAAGCAGAAAACGTCGCCGCGGATACGGATGTGGACTCCGACGATCTCGAGGAAATACTGTCCTCGAGCGACAGTGAGTCGGACTCTGACAACTCTGGCGACGATGAAAGCGATGACGCGGATGACGACAGAAACGACGCAACAGCCCGGAAAAAGGTTGGGCGTAAGCGCCGTAGAGGCAAGTCTGCTAGTAAAAAGGGCCCATCCTATAACATGGAGTGGTCGGAAGAGGAGTTGGTTGAATTGGCAGCCGCATGCTGGTATACCCGTGACGATATCAAAGCCTGCAAAGGGAAGCAGGGCTCACAATACTGGAAAAGGCTACGGAAACACATGAAGAAGGCGAACCCTGACTGGGATCGTGAGAGCGGCGCCATGCAGCATGCGTGGAAGCGCATCATGGCGGATTACCGCAAGTATGCGCGTGCCGACACGGGATCCGGCAACAAGGCCACCAAGAAACCGAAATGGTGGGGATACGTCCAAAATCTGAAGCATGGAACGGCTGCCGTGCGCCCACATGTGGTGGATGGCGGTGGCGCAGGGGAGACCAACGTTGACCCGAACGCCCACATACCCGGCCCGCAGGCCTACGATGCTGGCCCGTCTGCAGCTAGTCCAAGCCAACCGCGCCAACCTACACCTGTCCCTCTGGCTGACGGATCAGGTAAGTGTATTTCACCACTGGGTTTACATGTCGCCTTGTTCTTGAATATATTCCGAGTGACACATGATACATATTGAACAAAGGAATGCCATGTCATAAATTCTCTAGCTAAATGTGACCCGAACATCTACTTCCCGATCTCCGATCCTCACAGGTGCCGGCACCCCGGGAAGGACTCCGCGGCGTCGCGTCGATGAGACCGCAACCATGGGTGGTGCGCGTCTGATCTCGGATACGATCGTCGCCTGCACGAAAGAAGGCCTGCAGCAGTTGAATCAGATGGCGCAATATGTAGTAGCAGCAATGACGTTGGCGGCACACGTGGTGCCTCCGCCTGCGAATGCTGCCCCTCCTGGTACTGCACCCGCCAATACTCAGCCGCCAGAGAGCGGAGTCACGGGCGAAGCGACGAGGACGGCACGCACCCTGTTCACCGCACCAGAGCAGCCGAATGACACCCAGCAAGGGCCACCTACACAGCCCCAGTAGGGCGCCGAGCCCGATGACGCCGGAGGTAAGCACGGTGTATGTGCTTTCCAAAGTGTTTGCGCCGTGCCTTTAGCGCCGCAGCAGTTGGCCTTGATATCTCCTGCCATGTATATCGTGACATGCCTGAACGTGTCCACCATGGTGCGTCTTGACTCGTCCAGTATGCATGCCTCCGATTTTCTGTCCGCATTCGTGGCGTGCCCATGCATGTTAGCATGTTATGCAGTATGATGATGCTCTGAAATCTGCAGCCATGGCTGGACGGGCTTCTGGTGGGGGAAACCTGACCCACTCTCGTTTGAAGCGGCGCGGGAAGTGCAACAAGAATGCATCGACCAGTCGATGTAGTAGAGATGTAGGGATGCCGAATATGACAGACATGTCACCATACGATAAACCTGAGGCGAAGTATTTGATAGGAATCAGCACACATAACTGGATAGGGAAGTCAAGCCGTTCTACAAAGTAGGACAAGGGAACTTGCATGGCGTCAGTTATGTACGCGAGAATGTCGCGGGTTATGCGGAAAACGTCTTGAAACTCGACGTCGGTCATGACCAGGAGGTCCTCCTGCCACTCCCGAATGCGCGTTTGACGGCGCCGGCGTCGGACTGAAAGTCGCTCATTTGCTAGACGCACAGCTTCCTCGTCGACGTGGGAAACCCTGGTACTAAGGCGTTCTCTCTGGATTTACCACTCTTCGCTGGCTTTTGCTACCATGGGCAACCACACCAGAGAGTAGTACGCACACCACAGCTGCATGACGGCAAGAAGCGCTGCCGCTACTTTTGGGTCCATGTTCCTGACAGAGAGAAGTGCGCGGATCGGCCTGGCCGAAGAGTTATACTGGGACTGGTTGCTGTTTTAATATAGATGACGAGAGTCTGGCCATGGGCCTTGAGCTGTCTAGGAGCGTTCCAACGTGCAGGAGTGGTTGTTTCCGAGGCCGCGCAAGTCTGAAGTAGTGCATGTTTCGTGCACCTGGTGTTGGTGCGGAAGTTTTGAACGTGGTGACGGTCACTGTTCTTTCCGCTCGTGTGAGTTGCCGGTTGGGAGGCGTTGCAGGTCAACATTCGATCGTGCAGATGGTCGCACTGCATGCGCATGGTGTGACCGTTCATCGCTGGTAGATCGCCCAATGTTGGCAACATTGCCACCAACCTGGAGCCGCGCTCACGCGCGGCTCCACTTGGTGGCAACCGTGTTTTCCGCTTGCCACCTACAGTAACTTGCCACGAGCCAGGGATACGACCTGATTATAGGGCCCAGAAACAAACCCAGTTGAGGTTCGGCGAGAAGTCCGGACGCAGGTAGCCTGGGCTTGGCATGGCTCGGCTCTCGCCCTGACCAGCCTAGCGATCGTAGGCGAAATTCTGGCGAAGCACAAACCATGGTCAGGCTTGGACTCGTGACGAGCCTTGACAGGTTCGGGCATAACCCAAATTGGTATGTTTCCGAGACTATCGCTGGGGCGACTTTTGCTCCCCCGGCGATGTCATCGCCAGCAGTCGAGCCGCTCTCCCATCCTCCTCCTCACCCCTCTCCATTTTCCTCCAATTTCCTCTCCCTTGGGTCTGTTTGCCTGCCAGTACAAGTCGAGCCATTTCAGCCACTTCTTTCTCGCCTTTGCTCAGTGCACGACTTCCTCTAACTATTGAGCTTCTGCTTGGTTGTTGTGACCATCTCACATAAGTTTGAAATAGACTCTGAGAGACTTACAAGTCTCACTCTCTGAAACAGCGCGGGATTCTTTACCAGTAGCTATCAATCCCTTTCGTACGCTCCTCGCCATGGACAACTGGATGGCCCAGCCGTCGGTTGATAGTACCGCCTTCTCGTGCAAGTCGTTGGCGAAATCGACCAGCGAAGGCCGAACCGGAGCTCACGAACACGAGACTAAGCTGGAAGGTAAGCAACCGATCTTTTCATTACGGGAAGCATAGTCTCACTCGTTTTCTCAACCGCCCTTTTCTACCTGACATTCTCGTCAATAATAACGCGAGCCTTGGTCCTCGACCCCCTTTTCTACCTCTCTCTTTCTCCCTCTTTCCAGATTACCCCTCTGTCTTTTCAGGTAGACGCGAGAGAGAGTTAGGTTAGCACGCGAGTGCCAACCGTTTCTCCTCCGCGTTTGTAATGGCAGGTCTCGTCACGGCGTCGTGGTACGCGCCGTCCGAGGCGTTGACCTCGTCAACGGGACCCACGCCGGTCAACGTTGACCTCGTCGCCTCGTCGGACCTCTCTGATTCGTCCGTCGCTTCGACGATTTCTACCTCCGGCGACTCTTCCGCTGCTGCCGCTAAATCCGCGAAACCGGTGCCGGCTGCAGTCCATGCGCCTCCCGCTCCCCGCGACGCTGCTACGCCCATTGCCCCGCGCGCGTGCCCTCGGCCGGTCGTGCTGAGCGCGTACGACGGCGTGCTCGACCCCGACCTGTTCGAGGCAACCGGCGAGTTGGGGCGCGGCGGGTTCGGCACAGTGGTGGCGATGCGGCGAGTGGAGAGCGGCGAGGTGGTGGCGGTGAAGCGCGTGGCGCGCAAGCAGCTGGTGGCGGCGTCGAACGAGGCGATGCTTTCGGCGTCGCTGAGCGAGTGCCCGGGCGTGCTGGGCGTGCGCGAGGTGCATCTCGCCGACCACCACGCGTACATGCTCTCCGATGTCTGCCACGGCGGCGACCTCCGCGCGCTGCTGCAGCGACGCAAGGCTGCCGCCAGCGACAACGCGGGGGACGCGGAGAGAGGCAAGGGGAGGCGTGGTGGGGGAAGGCGAGCGGGGAAGGCGCGCGGGGAGGGGGAATGGCGGAGGCGGAGGCGCTGGAAGTGGTGAAGCACGTGGGCGACGCCGTGGCGTTCTGCCACGAGCGAGGCGTGGTGCACTGCGACATCAAACCTGATAACATCCTCTTCGCCCACCCCACGCCCCTCTCCGCGCCCTCGCCTTTCTCCGCCTCCGCTGCTCCTGCTGCGCCTGCGCGCGCCTCTCCTGCTGCCCCCCGCCTGGCCGCGGGGGCAGTGCGGCTGGCGGACTTTGGGCTGGCGCAGGTGGTGGGGGAGGGGCAGCGCGGGTGCACCATTCCCGCAGGCACGCCCGGGTACGTGGCGCCTGAGGTGGAGGCTCTCTGCCGCCCTCGCTGCCCGCCCGCCCCGCGCGCCGCCAAGCGCGCCAGAAAAGCAGCGGGGAGAGCGGAGGTAGGAAGCGCAGAGGCAGTGGGGTATGGGCGCGCAGCTGACGTGTGGTCGCTGGGGGTGACGCTGTACGAAATGATTGCGGGCGAGCGACCTTACTCAGGGGAGGCGCCTCAGCAGGGCGAGTGGCGGGCGCCAGTGGAGGGGGCTGCGTGGGAGGGCGTGTCTGAGGAATGCCGCGCGCTGGTGAGCGGCATGCTGAGAGTGCGCGTGGAGGAGAGGCTCACCATGGCGCACGTGTGCAACCACCCCGCCATGATCCGCGCCTTCGGGGTAGCGGGGGGAGCAGCGCAGGGAAGAGCACGAGTGGCAGGTGGTGGTGAGCGTGACGGGTGGAGAAGAGGGAGGCGGGGGTTATTGTCGAGGGAAGGGGGCAGCAGCGGGGGGAAATGCAGCTGGTGTGGCGTGACGGTGGGGTGAGGCAAGGAGAGTGGGATGGAACGGAGGAGCACCACTTTTTGCACCCTGCCTGTCAGGGTGTTTGGGATGCTGGCTAGATATGGTGGATGGAAGGGGATGGGTGCACGCCGCCTTGCTGCGTTGCTTCTTGCTCGTTCTAATCTGCCGGCTCTGCGTGTTCAAGGTTTGAGGCTGGTGTGTGGCTGTGGTGGATGATGCTTGCATATGTAGAGATAGTCCTAGATATGGTAATAGGGTACCTGCATGTTTAGCTTTAATGACCTTATTGTGAAATGTTAATTTCTGAAATTGATGCAGTGTTTCTAATTCTATCATAAGAATCAGAGGAGCCTGTTGTGTTTTAAGGGCCGTGTTATGCAGCAACACCCAAGTGATGGAGGGGAATGAATTCCAGTTAGATGCTTGTGCCATACATCACTGTATAGAATAATAGTGGGTGTGTGAAAAAGAATAGGTAATGTATGTGAACCTATGCCGTAGACCATAGCTGGTTGGGGGTACCGTACATTCCCTGCATGGCTAATCTAGTTGCTGCCTCAATGTTGCAATGCCCGTATCCACCACAAGGCCACTCAGAGCTAAAACATAAAGAGAGATAAAGAGCATGCGCAGAAGCTTCTTCTCAGACAGAAATGCAAGGAGAGAGAGGGCAGCAGCAGCAAAGAGGCTGAAAGCAGCAGCATGGCCATGGAAAGGCAATTAGCAGGCTTGGGAGGAGGATGAGGAGGAGGAGTCTGGGTGGAAGCAGATGGTGGCTGAGGGACTGGCGATGCCACTGCTGCAGTTAATCTTGCTACTGTGGTTGCAACCTTACAACAGTTGCAAGTTTCCCAATCACACAATACAAATTTTAGCGTATAAGAACACTTATGCAGTGTTGCACGGGATAGCATATGGGTCTACAATACATGCGATGGAATATAAACGGTCCTAAATAGCCATGTACTTTGAAGGGGTACATTCCCTTGGTGATTGCCCACACCACGTCTTGATTGGCCAGATGGCTGCCCTTGATATAGCACTGAATTGTCTTCCTCTCTTTGCCCTCATCTGCGCTGGAGACTTTTCGTTACGGAGAGACAATGAAGCTGCTTCACACATTGCAAATGCAAGGAGCATGAGGGCAGCAGCAGTAAAGAGGCTGAAAGCAGCAGCTGTGAGTGTGGAAAGGCGAGAAGCAGGCTTGAGAGGAGGGGCAGGAGGGGTCTGGGTGGAAGCAGATGACGGCTGAGGCACTGGCGATGCCGGTGCTGCAGTTAATTTCGATGCTGAAGTTGATTCCGGTGCTGCTGCGGGTGCTGGAGCTGCTGTGGGTGCTGCCCTTGAAGCATGGGACAGAATCACATGCAGTGGCAGGCAGACACATACCACTCAACTACCAGCACACAGAAGCTGCATGCACATATGTCATACTAATTCACCCTTGTGCAACACATCTTCTAAAATAACCGAGACATTTCAAGAGCTGTTATGTACAGTAATGTGCATACATATGCACATCATGCATGTGGGGGTGCAGGCAAGCAAGAACCCACATGCAGCAGGGGACAGGCACGTACACTTGAGGGGCGTGCAGGAGGAGCAGAAGGAGGAGCAGAGGCGGCAGAAGGAGGAGGCGGTGCTCTGCTTCGCCCCACACTCGCTGCCGTCCGCCGCGCAGGTCAGCCCCGACGCTGTGCTGTTGCTGGCGGTGACGGCCGTGGCGAGGGGCAACGATGCAGATAGGTGACGTGAAAACGGGAAAGGTAGAGGGGAGGAGGCAGTGTGGCCAGTGCAAACATGCTAACGTGCTGATGATTGTGTGATAATTGCGCAGCACCAGCATCAACATGCACGCATGCATCTGGTGGCCTGGCTTCAAGCAACACAGATCTGGCATGGATGAATGGAGGCATGGGTGCATGGGTGCATGGGTGCATGGGTGCAGGGCTCACAAGTAAGAGAGGTTGCCAAAGACAGGAGGTATGGGACCAGTCAAGTTGTTGCCTCCAAGGCCCCTGCCATTTCATTCCATGCCATGCCATGCCATGCCATGCCATGCCATGCCATGCCATGCCATTCCACGTTACACCATGCCATGCAAAGCCAAGCGACCCACACATGAGTACTTCAGCTAGCATCCTCGCTGCTTCATAGCGCCTGCAAGCCATTGGCCCCACAGAGTTGCACGAGGTGATAGATGGGACAGGCATGTATCGCCCTTCCCAAGCCATGCCCCTCCCCCTCTCCCATCATTTCCCTCCCCCCCACCCCTCTCGTGATTCATTACAGGGACTGTAAGGACATGAGGAGAGTCGCGGACTCAGGCAGAGGGCCGCTGAGCTGGTTGTCGCTGATGTCACTGGTGAGGGGAATGGTATGAGGGTGGAAGAGGAGGGGAGAGAGGTGGCGAGGATGGTTATGCTCGGGGGAGAGGGGAGGGAGGGGGGTGAAGCAAGCACACATGGGGTCAGCACGAGATGCACGGCTTCAGCAAAAGATGCACGGAAGAAACATGGGATGCACGGGGAGGGTGGAAGGGATGGGCTTACAGGGCTGTTAGCGAAGACAGGGTGAAGAGGGCAGGGGGCACAACTCCAGTGAACTGATTGTGAGAGATGTCACTGATGGGGTGGGGATGCATTGAGAGAGGGGGAGGAAGGGGAGGGGGATGGGGAGGTTGGAGAGGAGGGGGGCGGGAGTTGGTTCAAACCAGCTCTGCCAGCATAAATTACGCCAGAAACATTGAACGTTGTCAAAGCTGTGACACAAAGGTACGCATTCATGCATGCAGGAGGCAGCTAGAAAGCATTGACCGGAGGGCTCACAAGCTGTCGACTGTTGTGAGCGTCGTGAGCTGTGCGGGCAGTGATCCAGAGAAGTTGTTGGCTGATAGATTGCTGCGAGGAGACAGCAGAGGCGGTTGAGTGGATCACATAGGCCTGTTGCTTGCTTCTAGGTGAACTCAATTCAGAGTATGAGAATGATTCTTGCTGGGTCGAGACATTGGAGATTCGAAAGAACAAAAGAAATAATAGACCAATAAAAGAAAGAAAGAAAGAAAGAAAGAAAGAAAGAAAGAAAGAAAGAAAGAAAGAAAGAAAGAAAGAAAGAAAGAAAGAAAGAAAGAAAGAAAGAAAGTAAGAAACACTTCAGGGACTCAGATTTGACAACGAGATGGGAGAGGCACGAGTGAGGGGAGAGTGCGGGAGGCTGGAGTGGGGCTACAAGGGCGCCCCATGCAGTGGGTCAGTGCGTGCAAGCACCACTTTTGGGTGAGTCACAGCCTGAAATGAGCACGTGCGTGTGGAGTGTGCGATGCTGAGCAGCTGAGATGAGCAAGTGCGGGAGAACTCTCAGAAGTGAGACAGCATGCATGCAGCAGGGGTGGGCATGGCATGTGTGCATGCGTACAGCCTCTTGTATTGCGGTGCGGCAAGCATGGCGGAGGGGAAGGGCCCCGTGAAGATGTTGTTGGAAATGTCGCTGCAGAGAGGAGGGGCAGGGAGGGGAGGGCAGGAAGGGTAAGGAAGAGGGTGGGAAGTGAGGGTGGGGGAGGGTGAGAAGGGTAAGCTGCATAGAGAGGGTGAGAGGTGAGGAGTGGGGGAGCAGCGTGGGGGAGCAGCGTGGGGGAGCAGCGTGGGGAAGATGCATGAGGGACGTGGGGTGGGGAGGAGGCGTGTCATACAGGTCGGCGAGGGCGAGTTGTGCGAGGGCAGCAGGGAAGGCGCCTGACAAGTTGCACGACCCGATGTTGCTGTGTGGCAGGCAGGGCAGGGCAGGGCAGGGCAGGGCAGGGCAGGGGTCACCACAGGAGGGCAGGCAGCGTGGCAGCGAGGAGGGTGAGGACGCAAACGGACATGGCACGCAGGAGCGAAGGGAAACGAGCAGAGTGAGGTGCAATGGAGATGGGGGAGCAGTAGAGGAGAGCAAGAGGCAAGGGGCACGGCACGGCGAGGAGGATGCCTGCAGGCATGAATGGGGCAACGCAATGCAACGCAACGCCTGCAGGCATGACGCAACGCAATGCAACGCGGTGAGGCGCAACCCAATGCAACGCGGTGCTCACAGGGTGGAGATGTTAGTCATGCGTGCAAGCACGTCCAGACCACCCGAGAGAGCGTTGTGGCTGATGTCCCTGTGGGGGGCAACGGGGCATGGGCATGGCATGGCATGGCAGAGGTGAGGCAGGGGGATGGCAGGAATGGGGTAAAAAGACTTACATGTTTGCGATGGAAGGAAGCGGGAGAGAAAGGTGGGGAAGGAAGGTGGGAGAGGAAGGTGGGAGAGGAAGGTGGGAGGCGGAGGTACCATAGGTGGAAGGGGATGCAGCGGGCTTACACATTTGCGAAGGAGGGGGAGATGGTGATGCCACATGTGGAATGGAGTGCATGGGGCTTACACATTGTCGAGCGCAGGAAGGTTTGCCAAGGATGGTGGGATGGGCCCTGACAGATCGTTGGAGCTCACATCCCTGCAAGGAGAGATGGCGTGCAGGGGGGGAGAAGTGGGGGTGACGAGAGAAGAAGCCAAGATATGAGTGTGTGGGAGGGTGGTGTGCGTGTGGAAGGAAGTGAGTTGGATACGGGGGCTGTTTGGGGGTGTTGTGTTGGGGGCGGTGCATCATCTGACCCACACTTGGAACTGCAAGATAAGCACAGCCATGACTTGACAGCTGGAAACGAAGGTGGCACGAAGGTGGCAGAGGAAGGTGGGAGATGGAGGTGCCAGAGGTGGGTTGAAGGGACTCACAGAGTGGCAAGGGAGGCAAGGCCTGAGAATGATGCTGGAGTGGGCCATGTGAAACGGTTGTGGCTCAGTTTCCTGTGGGATGGGAGAGATGGAGTGGGTCAGACGCTTGTGGACGCTCATCAAGAAGTCGTCGCCCCCCATGCCTTGCCTCCCATGCCCCCCATTCCTCCCATCCCATGCCCCCCATGCCTCCCATGCCTTGCCTCCCATGCCCCCCATTCCTCCCATGCCCCCCATGCCTCCCATGCCCCCCATTCCTCCCATGCACC